CACATGATTACTTGTTTTGGTTTTTATGTTTAAAATACTGCTTTTATGCAACTAAAGGACGCAACAGGCTTCTAAAATAATACTTCAAATACCAGCATTATAAGAGAAGTGCTATCAGTGTATGATTTACCTGTACTAATAAATCCTAACTCAGTACATCGTTACAAGGAGCATATTTATGTTTTCAGTGCAGAGGTATTAGCAGTATTATAATTTTATCATTTGAGAAAACCCAAAGGAGGTTTAGATTTTTTTTTTTTGTAATAGTAGTTCACCTGGCTAGCAACCATGTCTTGACTTGAAATCTAGATCTGTACACTAAGAAAATTTTTACAATTGTCACAAATGGCCCAGATAACTGGAGGATGAGAGTCTGAAACTGACATCCTCCACACTAATACTTGTAGCAGCAATTTCAGAAACAAAATTAACATACTGAAAAACTACATTTCTTCTACCCGTTTCTTCTGTTATTATTACAGAAAGAGATTCACCATTGATGAAAGCATATTTGAAACTTTATTGTATTGCCTAAGTATGGCGTATAAAATGCTGGTAAATGATAAAGACTCAGCATCTGGAGAAAATCATTCTTTAGTAAAAGAATTGTTAAAGACAGGCATTTCAGTTCATCTTGTCTGCTTCAAGCCGAGTTGTACTGTGCAGACAGGTTAAAGTAATGACATTTCTGGAGCCACTGCATCTACTCCATGTAGAACTTCAGAGTTCTTACAGCTACCTAAGATTTCTGAAATTAGAGTGGGAAAATGAATTAAATAGGAAACAACTCAAAAACAAGTCAACATGAGACTGACCAGAGTATAGAATCAATACTATAGTTTAAAGAGCTCTGACTAAAGCTTTCTCCATCTGAAGGGTTAAAGAAATACCAGCAATTAGTAGTGTCTCTGATTCTGTGTAGCTCTTCAAAATACGCTTTCCCTAACTCCAGCCTTCAACTTTTAGAACTGTTAATATTATAACTTATGCAATACCTACCGCAGTAAACATTTACACCGGCAAATCTATTAATTCAAAAGTTGCAAACAAAAATTCAAAGGATGTGACTTTATAACTTATGCAATACCTACCGCAGTAAACATTTACACCGGCAAATCTATTAATTCAAAAGTTGCAAACAAAAATTCAAAGGATATGACAGCTCCTTACTTGGATTTGGCTGCAATAATACTTCTGTTTGTTTCATTATTTTTTCCGTCCACAATTTAGTGCATTCTGCTTTGCTGAGAAGGTTCTCCAAGTGAGCATCCAGTTCAGTCTTCTCTGCTTGACCAAGCTTTTCTTCTGTGAACTACAAGTTAAGACAGGTTGAAAATACTCAGTTCACAGAAATAATTTCCCAGGACAAGTTTAAAGCAGCAACTATCCACTCATATTAGTTGCAGATCATGCTTTCAAATATATAACTGTTAGCACTGGGTAAATAAAAATCTAAGAATAAATTTGAAAGTTCTTAAATTCAACAACACACCTTTACTATCAGGAAGAAAAAAATGCTCTACTTGGTACTGAGAATTCTCACTTGAAGCATTTTGTCCAATTTTGCACAGTGCTCTTTGAAACATGAGTCAAAAGGAAAGAGAGTGCAGATGTAATGAAGGCAATTAAAAGATTACTTAAATCTTGTACATTTTGTCCCTTCTTCCACAGTAAAACCTGAAGACACAACAGCTTCTCATTGCAGCTACCTTAAAAAAAAATGTTGTCCTGTCCACAGCAAACAGGACAAAAAGCAGTGAGTTAAAACTTCAGCATGAAGACTTAAATTAGAATTTAATTTAGACATTAGAGAAAGCTTTTAAAGACGGGGATTAAAAGCTAAAATAGACTTCCCTGAGAAGCTGTGGAACATCTATCTTTGGGGGTGGGGTGCGTTTTGCTTTTTAGAATATGACAAATCAATGTTTAATGAACTGTTTAGATATGACTGATCCTATTATGCCTTACAGAAACAGTAAAATGACCTCTGCTGTCCTCTCCCAAGCTTTCAGTGACAACAAAATACAATGTCAGTCCATTTAGCTAAATAAATCCAGCAGACAATTCATTTCACTTGATATTAAATTCATGCCAACTCTTATTAATCCGCAAGCAGTTTGTACTTCAGTCCCAGTTCTCTGGGAGAGAGGGAAGCCACGCGTTTCACATCAGGGAACCAAACAAAACCGGAACTGAGGGGTTTGCCTGCCTCTCTTCAGAACAGTAGTTCCTCATGATGATGATGATCTCATCACTTGACAGCCTGTTCAAAGTCAGGCATTTTCAGAAAAACCTGGTTTATGAGTAAATCCCTAACAAGCTTACCAATTAAGAACATAATAGGACTGGAAACATTTTTGACTGTCAAACTTCATTCTTAACAAGCTCATTGGTGGGATATTTAACTTGCAGTAAGAAACAAGAATACAATACAAGTAAATTGCACTGTCCAAGTTAGCTTTCATTTCCATCACATGTAAAATAAAACCAACTTTGATAGCATATCCATCTAAAGTCTGGATAAATGTTGTGGCATTTGCTGTTCTACATAAAAGCAAACTGCCTTTGAGAGAAATTTCAGTTGTAGTATAGGAAAGAATGGAATTTATTTATGGATGTATTACTGTTTAAAAGGTTGTTTAAAGAGATGTCAGTTACCATAAGCTGCTCTCAAAAACTTTGTACAGATTCATCATAATACAGTGTTAATGGTTTTGGTATTAATTTTTATTAATTACAGATAAGAGCATTTGCATATAAAATAGGCTTTCCTATTAATATTTCCATAAATCTTCTAATCGGTGTGAAGACTGTAATGTTAAATTTCACATATACACCTAAAGGAAAAAAATATTTTAGCAATACCAAGCAGCATGGTAAATAGCAGTTTGACAGAAGTATCATTTCCAGCATCAGTGTAATGTAACAACTGATTTTCCATCTCGGTTACCCAGAAACCTAAATTTGAACTCGTCTTTCCGTTTTATGTCCTTTTTCAGGCATTACTGCATCCCTTAAGGAAAAGAAAAAAAATAATAAAGGCAGTGCTATGAATCAAGAATTTTTCTTCTGCTTAGAAAAACTCTTCCAAGATAGGCAGATACTAATGATTTTCTACCTTGATTAGAGCTCTGAAAACTGTGTTTTCCTTTTTATCAAAGCTTAAAACATGTCATACAGAGACACTTAACATAAACACTTGCAGGAACAAATCACATCAGTAAGCCATCTAATGCACCCATCTATCTTTATTAAATTCAAAATACATACATAAGTTGCCTGAATGCGACAGCTCACACAGAAGGAAATTGTGGCGTTTTGTATACAACTGTGTTATCACAGCCCAACTGACATTTCATGTCTATGCTGCAAAATTACTAGAAGGAGAAATTACATTAAGATAAATCTCTAATTTTAGGTAGAAGCCACGAACAATATAAGTGTTTCTGCTACCAAAGAGTAAAAGCCCAGCTTATTCCCAACTGCTCACAGGCAGCTTGTCGATTACAGAGCCTGGCAAGAGGAAGGATTCGCATTCCTATTCCTACACTCTATGGCATTATTTATTTCACCTCAAATACCACTAACTATAACCATTTGCTACTTTGTCCCACAAATTGCAAGTACTGCAAGACAGCCTGAAAACCACTCCTTCAAAGCATTTTCTGCCTGCCAGAAGGAAGTTGCAGGCTTTGGATGAGGATGGCCAGTAGGCTTGATTTTTCTGTAGATTACAAACTAGAATACGGTAGTCTGAACACAGTATAATCTCATCCACAGAAAGAACAGGTTCCCTGGAACGCAGGTATCAGGTGGTTGTGGGTAAAACAGCCCCAATCCCCTTGTAACAGAAAAGTCTGAGAAGCCTGTGAAACACTTACCAGACGTTCACCATCTTATAAATTGACATGGATGTTTTAAGTGGTTTTCCTATATACCATTTCATGCTGCTGAACTGTTTCATAGGGTTTGATGAGGGTTTTTTGTTTCCAATATCCCAAAACAACCAGTGTCAGGTCATATCACATCATCAGCGATGCTTGAACATCAGAGTTTAACTCAATACACAGAACTGTAATTTTTACTGGAGGACAAAATCTAAACCAAGATGATATTAAAAAAAAAATCCACAAAATTATTACCCCTTAATAGTATCTGTAGGCCTTACACAGGAATTTTTAAAAAACTAATCGGGAGAAGAAACAGTAGCACACAGAACATTACTTACTCGGATTATAAGAACATTTTAGGTATTTGCTCCTCACCCTCAGTGGTTTCATTAAACTGCTCATTTTAGGGGAAAGCAGCAGCTGGTAGAGCAAAATTGTTAGTTTCTCATTTCCACTGAATTTTAGTTTAGATTAAGCAGATAACTAATGTAACTATCCAGATGTAAAGCAACAATGCAGACAGAGCATACTGGAGCAAACCACAGTTCACACCACCTTTAAACCGTGACAGACTGCAAAAACCTACATTAGATTTAACGCAATAAGCTGATTTAAATGTTAAAAGTCATGATAAAAGAGATGAAATCACAAGGTACCATCACAGGACCTTATAATGAAGGGTGAACCGCATCTCCTTTTTTCCTTGTCCAGAAAAAAAAAAAAAAAAAAAAAGGAAAGGGGTGGAGGCTGGAAAGGAAGAGATGGTCTAGGAAACATGTAGACCTGGAAGAAGCCGGGGGAGGGCGGGGGAGCATGGAAAGACCTCCCTGAAAGCGAAACCACGACTGCTTTAAATTCATTTAAATTAGATAAACAATGCTTTCTGACGAGTTTGCATTTTCAGAGCTCCGCTGTGCTGCTGATCATTGGTTCTGCTTGAATATTGAGATTTAGGGCAATACATCAGACCGATCAGACCAGATAACAACTTTAATCACGTTCCAAACCTGACTGCGACCCAGAGAGAGCTCATGAGAAACCGAAGTGGATTACGATGCAC